CGGAAAAAATCTGTACTAGTTATAAAGAAACTGCAGGCTGGATAGTTTTAATCAAACATTATTTTCTTTTTATTAAAATGCGCTTCATTATATAATATTAATTAACAGTTGACTTAGGACTATTCAGATACTCTTTGAGATAATAGTGAGAACAAAAAAGCATTTGATTGGACTATGTACAAATTGTACATTTGTACTGTAAGATTTTCATGGGATGTCGACAACTAGGTTATTTTTACCACCAAGCCGTCCTGTTTTTAAACTTTCGAATATCGTGTGGCATTTCCTACGCGCTCCCTATATGGAGCTAATGAGTGAGACTTCACAATTATGTGAGGTACCTCATACTTTTCTCTTTATGTCGAGGGCGCATACTTGGTCTTTGGGCCGAAAGTAATGTCCTTGTGTCAACCTTAATCGAACCTCACCTTTAATCATGTGCCTAATCTCATCATGAGGTGGTCAGGTCCGGAAGTTGGTACGACCCGTTTTATAGCGGAGAGCGAGGTTGTCTCGGCCCTTAGGGGCTGGGGCGCCTCTCCACCAATGCTGCGGCGGTAACACTATTCCGTCGTACGCGGAGGTGCGTCAGCTCCCATCTTGAGAATCAAAACGTCCGATAAGGCAAGGTGCGGACGCTAAAGATCCTCTTGTCTTGTTGACCCGTTTTATTACCCTACAGACATGTATGAGCGATTCGAGCACAACCGAATTGACGAGATGTCCGTTCAGAGTATTTCTCAAATTAGAGCAAGAGAGAGAGGGTTCAGGAAGATCTGCCACGTCAGCAATAACGAACTCCCGTGTGGTGACAAGGTAGGCAGAGCCACCATCGTCTCGATTCACCTCAAAGAGATTCCCTTCCTCCCCTATTTATACTTAGATCTAATGTCCAAAACTGCTCGGTAAAGGTATAGAGGGGTGATTGGGTAGCATGGTGAGATTGACCTATATGAATATGACCGTAGTATATTGCCCAGAACTCCTCGTCCTAAGGTCGTCCAGGCTTCGAACATATTCCCGGTGTTGCGTCCGGGTTTGAAGTTGTTCGTGTATTTGCTATATTGGAAATGTTCCGGTTCGGCCAGAAACCCCGAGGACCATGAGGTCCTATCGACCTATCCCGAAAGTGATGATTCAAATAACGTCTCACCTGCCAAGAATTGTGTGCGGGCATCCATCAAGCTGAAGAACCATTCATTGTCACCGTGCCGAAATGCATTGAGTAGTTCAACAAACCCGCAAGTGAAGGCGGACCCAACAAGTGACTCAGTGCCGGTTGCAGCATAAATTCATTGAATCGCATAACATATTGACCAACACCCAACAAAACCAAACCATCTCTGGCTATCTTTAACTATTTCCAACAAAGCCAACCCCAACTTAAACCATTTCTAACGATCCCGTAACAGTCCCAAACAAAATTTTACCATCTCTAACAATCCCAAACCATCTCATAACAGTTCCAAACAAACTTTACCTTCGCAAACAATGTTCATCTCTAGGTATCCTTAACCATTTGTAATAAATTAAATCCCAACTTTAACCATCTCTGACAATCCCAAACCATCTCTAGCCATATGTAACAATCTGAACTATCTCTAATCATCCTTAACAATTTTAAACAATCGCAACCCAACTTTATCATCTCTAACAATCTCTTTAACGTCCCAAACAAAATTTTACCATCTCTTAACAGTCCCAACGCAACTTCACCATCTCTAACAATCCCATACCACCTGTAGCCATCTCTAACAATCTGAACTATCTCTAACCATCCATACTCATCCTTAACAATTTCAAACTATCGCAACCCAACTTTATCATTTCTAACAATCCCAAACCATCTCCAGCTATCTTTAACGATTTGTAACAAATCTACCTCCAAATTTTTTGACCATCTCTAACAATCCCAACAAAACTGTAATATATTAAACCTTTTGAGCAAACTCAGCCTTAACTATAGTCGGTCATCCCACACCATCTCTTAACAATCCCAACTTAACTTTAACCCAGTTTATTCCAACGTGGTCAACTGCTGCTCCAATGGAGTTCATGTTCCTCGTTGACCACCCGTTCACATCCATCCTTGAACCTTTTGTTCCAGGTACTAGACTGTGTTACTTTCCTAAACTGAAACGTCGGTTTTTGAAGAATTATCTTTGGTTTTACGTCTTCATGAGTGAGAAATTGAATAATGATGCGTAGCGCAAGGGGGCGGATCTGTTCCCGCTACTGCCCAACACCTCAGATTCAGACGGCTGACCTATTGCAAAAAATAATCGACAGATTGTAAATATAAGCAGGGGCAAAACGTTTTTTCATTGAAATGCGGAAAAGCAAATATTTGTCCGGTTCGTGTCGCAACGACCTGCGCCCGTTGGGTCTCGCTTTGTAATTCGGAAAACGGCGGCCTTTTTCCAAATCCGGCCGGCGAGAGGCGGTCGTACAGCAAAGCAAACATTCCAATATCGAAATCCTTAGCTATGAAACAAACGTGACCCAGTTTCCTTTTGAATGTCATTGTTAAAATCGGATGCGTTTTCCGCATTCCAGCCGACTTTCTGCCTGTTTATTTACACAATTTCGATAAGAACAATTAAAACGTTTTATTGACTGTTTGGCAGGGACGTGTCTTTACCTTGTACAAACCAATTATTGTACCCATTTATTTTCATTTTTGGCACATAGTGCTTTTCCCTTAAAGATAAATACCATTGAAAGCTAAAAAGAAAGTAAAATTGCGCCTAAAAAAGTATTCGAAGAATTAAAAATTCATCTACAGCACCCACTGACAAAATTTAAAATGAACCTCCACATTAATAGTTGTACTGGTCTTGAGATTAATCAGGTTGACAATCGCATCAGTTCTACATTTTTGTTCCCTCGAAAGAAATTTAAATATCCGAAACATTTTTCGACCAAACCTGTACAACAAAAATCCCCCCTCCCCCCAGTCACTTTTTAAATGTTGCGCTCATGCTCAGTTTTCCCTTGCTACATTTGTCAGAAATTAAACCTCTCATAATTAATTTTGAATGTTAAATAAATGATTTTTTAAGGTTTAATTCAATTTTTCGAGAAAATTGTTCTTCCGTGTCTTCCGTACAGAATATTGCTTCACGCTTTTTTAAGTATAACTGCGAATACCGAAATTTCTCATATTTTAAAATGAATGTTCTGGCATCAAAAAGGAGCTACGTACAGAAGCGAAATGACGATGTTGTGTTAAAGCAAGAATTAATTTGTAATATGTTCGTTATCCATCATTTTTGTCCGCCTTATCTCCCTATGTTGTCCTGACAGAAGCGTTTCGGCAATTCGCTATCTCCAGACCTTGGTTTAAACACCAGGTATCTCTATAATTTGATTTAGAGACCAGCCTCATCCTAAACAATTTCTAAGAATTCCTAACTACCTTTCAACAGTCCCAATCTAACATTAACTATTTATTTCTAAGTAAGAGACGAGTTTGGAGTGTTAGAGATAGTTAAGAATGATTAAATATTGTCTTGGATGGTTTGAAATACATAAAGATGGTAAAGGATGGTTAGAGGTGGTTTAGAATTATTATTGAAGGGTTGAGATAGTTAAGGAAGTGTTGGCATGGCTACAGATGGTTTAGGATTATATCGATGGCTAGTGATGGTTTAGGATAATCAAAAATTGTTGGAGAAAAGTTTGGTTTGGATTGTTACAAATCGTTAGTGATGTTTAGAAATCGTTAGTGTTAGTTATCCATCAGTTGGGATTGTTACCAATGGTTAGTGTTGAGTTGGGATGGTTAAAAATTTTTAGAGAAAGGTAAAGTTGAGTTGGAATTGTTAAGAGATGGTTTTGGGTTGTTATCAATGGTTAGCGATGAATTGAGATGGTTAAAAATATTTGTAGGAAGTTAAAATTGGGTTGGGATTCTTACGAGATGGTTTGGGATGGTTAAAATTATTTTAAGGTAGTTAAAGTTGGGTTGGCTTCTAATAAATGGTTAGACATTTATTTCTAGCCATCCAAATTCATCCATAAGTATCTCTAATAATCCTAAACCATTTTTGTACATCTCTTAGTATTGCTAACCTTTCTTTAATATCACTAACAATTTCGACCCATCCTAGCCCATGTCTTAACTATTCCTGATTAACCTTGTATGTACCTATCTGAACACATTCCTAACCATCTCTTAATAATGCCAACCCATTATTTATGTAACTCCGGCAGACGGTTACCTTGCCGTATTTAGTTTATTTTCTTGTCTGAATTATATGTAATTTTTTATTTTCTTCTTGTGTGCAATAAATTTATTATTATTATGTAACTACTTCTAAAAAATTTTAACCATTCCTCACCATCGCTAACTATTTCTGGCTTCCTAACCATTCCAACTCAAGACTAAATATGCTTAATCCTACTCCATGTTGTAACCATTCGTAACCATCTCTAATTCTCACTATCAATCCAAAAATATTTCTTACCTGAACCATCTTTAACTCAAACTATAGTGATACCTGGCGTTTTAACTAACATCGTAACAAAGCCAAAGCACAAGATGGCGAAACCAGTCAGACAGACTAAGCAGCGAAGATAGGCGGATCAGGATGACATGAACAAAACGATACAGTAAATTGTCCTAGTTCAATTACATTAGATGTCTTTTTCCTTTAGAATATTCTTTTTCCCTTTTGAGTGTACTCCTTTGATTAGATATTTCCTCTTAATTTTCTACGTTGCAGGCCATATTTTAAAATAAATTACCATTCTTATCATCATTTGCCGTTGATACAAATGTTAGGACTTTTTATGCGTCAAGATCCTCCGAAGATATGAAAGAGCAAACAGCTAGCTTGAATGATCGGAAATTCCAACCTATTATATTTCACCTTGTTATTTCATGTTTACGCTTTCAATATAACTTTATTTCCCCTTTCCCGGTACTTGTTTGTCATGTTTTAAAGGGAAGTTGCATCGAATGTGTATTAATTGTGTTTTTTCATTCTGTTTTGCAGGTGTACAAAGGGCTCGATATCATCACGAACAAGGTGACGAGGGAAGAAAGACAGATGGCACCTCACCACCTCATCGACTTTTTAAGCCCGGTGGAAAAGTACAAAGTCGTCGACTTCAGGGACAAGGCCCTGCCGATTGTATCCTTGAACAAAGTTGCCAGGAAAAATCTTTAAATAAAATAACTGAAGATTTCTTGCCGAATACGGAGTGAATGTCTGGTTAGTGTAAATATTAAAGCGTGCGATCGTTAAATTAATTGTTTTTCTATACAAATCGATAGCTTTCATATGAAAAGGCAGATTTTTTTTATATAAATCGAGGGTTTATTTAAAAAAAAGTGCAAATTATTTCTATTTAGAGAGAAAAACAATGGATGTTTTCTTGCCGAATACGGAGTAAATGACTGATTAGTGTAAATATTAAATCGTACGATCGTTAAATTATTTTTCTATACAAAACGACAGCTTTCATATGAAAAAGGGTGATTTTTGCTAGAAATCGAGGTTTTTCTCTTTAAAAAAAGTGTAAATTATTTCTATGTAGAGAACAAAACAATGGAAGATTTCTTATCGAATAGAGAATAAATGACTGATTCGTGTAAATATTAAATCATGGGCTCATTATATTAATTGTTTTTCTATACAAATGGACAGTTTTCATATGAAAAAGGATGATTTTTTTATATAATCCGGAGGTTTTATTTAAGGGTAAATATTAAATCTTGCGATCATTTAAGGTTTCACGCAAAAAAGGATGATTTTTGACACAAGTGGAGGGTTTTATTTAAGCAAAAAAGTGTAAATTATTTCTATTTAGAGAGAAAAAATGGATGATTTCTTTCCGTATACGGAGTAAATGACTGATGAGTCTAAATATTAAATCATGCGCTCGTCAAATTAATTGTTTTTTCTATTCAAATCGACAGCTTTTATATGAAAAAGGCTGAGTTTTGATAGAAATCGAGATTTCACTTTTTAAAAAAGTGTAAATTATTTCTCTTTAGAGAAAAAAACAATGGATATTTTTTCTGAATATGGAGTAAATGACTGGTTAGTGTAAATATTAAATCGTGCGCTCGTTAAATTAATTGTTTTTCTTTACAAATCGACAACTTTCATATAAAGAAGGCTCAGTTTTGATAGAAATCGAGGATTTTATTTATTTAAAAAAGTGTAAATTATTTTTGTATAGTGAAAAACAATGCATAGTTTTTTGCCAAATACGGATAAAATGACTGATGAGTGTAAATATTAAAGCGTCCGACAGTTACATTAATTGGTTTTGATAGAAATCGAGTGTTTTATTTAATACAAAAAGTGTAAATTATTTCTATTTAGAGAAAAAACAATAGATATTTTTTGCCGAATACGGAGTAAATGACTGATGAGTCTAAATATTAAATCGTGAGCTCTTTAAACTAATTGTTTTTCTGTACCAATCGACAGCTTTCACTCGAAAAAAAGGATGATTTTTGACACAAGTCGAGGGTTTTATTTAAGAAAAAAAGTGTAAATTATTTCTATTTAGAGAGAAAAAATTGATATTTTTTCCGAATATGGAGTAAATGACTGATTAGTGTAAATATTAAATCGTGCGCTCGTTAAATTAATTGTTTTTCTTTACAAATCGACAGCTTTCATATGAAATAGGCTGAGTTTTGATAGAAATCGAGGGTTTCCATTTTAAAAAAGTGTAAATTATTTCTGTTTAGAGAAAAACAATGATTATTTTTTGCCGAATACGCAGTAAATGACTGATGAGTGACATATTAAATCATGGGCTCGTTATATTATTTGTTTTTCTATACAAATCGACAGCTTTCATATGAAAAGGCAGAGTGTTTATATAAATCAAGGGTTTTATTTTAAAAAAAAAGAGTAAATTATTTCTATTTAGCGAAAAGCAATGGTTGTTTTCTTGCTGAATACGGTGTAAATGACTGATTAATGTTAATATTAAATCTTGCGAACAATAAATTATTTGTTTTTCTATACAAATCGACAGCTTTCATATGAAAAAGGCTGATTTTCGACACAGGTTTTTTTTAAAGAAAAGCGTTAATTATTTCTATGTAGCAAAGAAAATGCATGTGTTCTTGCCTAATAGGGACGAAATGACTGGTTAGTGTAAATATTAAAGCGTTCAATTAATCGTTTTTCTATACAAATCGACAGCTTTCATATGAAAAGGCAGAGTTTTTATATAAATCAAGGGTTTTATTTTAAAAAAAAAAGAGTAAATTATTTCTATTTAGCGAAAAGCAATGGTTGTTTTCTTGCTGAATACGGTGTAAATGACTTATTAATGTTAATATTAAATCTTGCGAACAATAAATTATTTGTTTTTCTATACGAATCGACAGCTTTCATATGAAAAAGGCTGATTTTTGACACAAGTCGAAGGTTTTCTTTTAAAGAAAAGTGTAAATTATTTTTATATAGAGTGATATTTGAAAACAATGCGTGTTGAAAGTGAACTTCCTTGGCAGGCATTTAAGTTTTAAGTTCTGCCGATTTCATAACGTGACACCTAAATATCAAGGTACGGTTTATAGACAATGCAAAAAGGACAAATGTTTTCTAGTTGACGCCTACGCGATTGGTGTGAAAGGTGCATGAAAATCGCAAATTGCCCGCGCCCTGCCAACTTCGTAGTGCTGGCACGTCGCCCGTGTGACAATGTTCTCTTTTAAGAATGTTGCCTCGTAACATTTTAATAAGTGTTCTATGGCACATTGACTTTTCCAATTACGTTTTCTTCCCGGAGAGGTCATAAATCCGAAATGATATTCTTTCCTTGTACACCTAACCACGTCGTCGCTTATACATCCGGGACTTACGATTTTATAATTTATATATATATTCTGAACTAAACTTTCGCTTTAAAGCTCCTCTTTGAAGGGAAAATTTGTCTAAGACGTGGGCGAATCGTTCTTTACACCATTTTCCCATGGGTACAGGAAGACACGTACGGTCGTCCAAACTCGAAACGTGCCTGAAAACGGGCAGTCAGCGAAAATCAGCGGACCCTGTGATATATCGACCGGAGAGACGATCATACTTGACGATTAGGTTGTACCGATTGCGAAAATGTGTCTGTTGGTATATAATTTGCCGAAAAATCCATTAGAAACACAGCGAGAACAGGCGGACCAAGATCTTCAAAAAATATTCAATTCCTGTCAAGACTCGAGACACTAAATTATTAAACGTTGAAAATATCCTCACGAATACTCGTTTCTCAATAACAGTTTTCTGTTAGAAATCCTTTTACGGGCGTAACCAGAGAGAGAACCCGGTATGACTCGAATAATAATCAAACTTGACAGTAAGGTTTTGAACATGTTCGTTGAGGAATACTTGACGCATGTAATCTGCTTTTGTAGGCGGAAACACAGCGTGGATAAGCGGACCGGTGTGATCAAGGACGTTTGAACAGTTCAACAATTGGGACAGTTTCATGGTTTTGGTGAAAAATGATCTATTCCGAATTTATTTTTTCCATTATAAATCGTCCCTTGTATGAGAGATTTCAGTTTGGATGTGTGGTACAATCAGCGAGATTATGCGGACCCAATCATGTATCTTTTGTCAACAATTACGCTTTAAGCCAAAACTCACTTCTTTATTTTGAGAGTTCTTCTTGGTGGTGGGGTCTGTGGTGATGTACCTGTAGTTCGGTCTTCCTTTGTTCCTCGTTTCGGTCAAATTAAGGACGGGTTGGCATGGTCAGTGATGAGTCGGGGATGGATAAGGAGAAATGGTTAGAGAAAGTTTGAGTAGTGTTCTAAATAATTGGATGTGGCTGGGGATGGTTGGGTATTGTTAGAAATGGCCTAGAATGGTTATAGATGGTTAGAAATAGAAATGATTGTGGAAGATAAGGGATGGTTTGTTCTTTTTAGAAACAGTTATTACTAGTTCGGGGAGGTTATGGATAGTCTAGTATGTTTAGAAATGATTATAGGTTATCATGGTTGTACGTGGTTAGGGAAGGATATTTACAGTTGGATATTGTTAGAAATTCTTATATGTGGTTATGAATGCTTAGGGAAGGTTATGCACTTTGGTATTATTTGGTAATGGTTATTGGTGATTAGGAATAATTAGGGATCGTTTGTTTGGAAGTCGTGGTCAGGAATGGTTAGGTAAGGTTATTTATAATTGGGTATTTTTAGAAATGGTTGTAGGCGGTTATGAACGGGGAGGGAAGGTTGTGGATATTTTGGTATTGTTAAAAATGGTTACTGGTGGTTATTGGGATGGTTAGGGATCGTTTATTTAGAAGTCAGGGTCAGGAATGGTTAGGTAAGGTTATTTATAGTTGGGTATTTTTAGGTGGTAGGCGGTTATGAACGGGGAGGGAAGGTTGTGGATAGTTTGGTATTGTTATAAATGGTTACTGGTGGTTATAAGAATGGTCAGGAATGGTTATTTATAGTTGGATATTGTTAGAAATGGTTATAGGTGGTTATGAATGGTTCGTGAAGCTTATTAGATCGTTTGTTATTGGTAGGCATGAAAGGAATCGTTAGGGAAGGTTATGGATTGTTGGGTATGGTAGTTAGGGTTTGCGATAATGGTTGGTTATATGCGGTTAGGGATGGTTTGTTCTTTTGTAAATGGTGTAATGAAGAGGAAGGAAGAAGTTGCCTCTTGGCTGAGAGATGCATGGCAACGCCGCTGGGAAACGTCACCCAAAATAAGGCATACGTATCGGCTGTTCGATAACATAAAGAGATGCTTGGGCATGGCTTTTATGAAGATGGACCAATACATGTACCAGCTGTTTTCGGGGCATGGGGATTTCTCAGCCAAGCTCCGTGAATTTGGACTGAAAGACAGTCCATTGTGCGACTGTGCATGCTGGAAACGGTCGAGCATGTGGCCTTAGCGAAAAATACTCAGTCATCCGGACGAGATGGATGTACGAATCCATTGTTGATGAAGCTAGCATGGACTCCTTCCGCCGCGTCATATCCAGCCGTGCTGGGTACATGGCTACCGAAAAAAATGTGGAAAGCCATCAAGAGGCAAAAAGGATGGCCGGCCTAACATATGCCAGCGCGTTTGCAGCGTGTACGTCCCGAGCGAGCCGCCTCCGCTCACCTGGTGGAGTAGAGATGCGAACGTCTAGT